ACGATAGTTACCTTATCCTCAAATACATCGTATATATCCATTTTCAAAACACCAAATAAAAAATACATTATGGCAATCAAATTTCTTTCAAACCACAAAATCCACTAACTTATTCCGTTTTACTTCTCCATCCTCGCCCATTTCTTCCTCGAATGTTTTGATAAAAGTTTTCATTTTGATGAATATCCTATCAGTCTTGCGTTTAGTACTGTCGAGCATTCTCTGGTTTCTCAGCATTTCGCTGCTCGGTAATTTATTGGCCTGGTTGTTCAGAGCCATGGCCTTAAGCTCACGAACGGAGCGTGTTACCACGTTCGCCGCGGGTGCTTCTATATCGGGTAATTCTTCATGCCCCTCCTTGGTCACTTGGGGAAGTCTGAGTTCAGCATCATCCCGTTTCCCTAGACTTCTTGCAACAGAACGACCAGATGGTTCTCGACCCCTTTCAGCGTAACGAGAACTTCCTTGGCTATGTAACCTTGACCTTCCGGATGCCTCTCGATTCCGCTGTGTCATGAAATCAGGAAGAATATTATATTGTTCTCGGGTCACAGATGTATCAGGAACTGACGCGTTTCCGGCATATATGGATGCACTTCCACGATTGCTCTTTGTCAGCGAAAGTCGGGAAGATTCTCTAGGTCTCTGTTCGTGTGGTATTTCTCCAGGCACTGCAGAGACATGTTTTCCTATTTCGGTTTTGCTTTTGTTGATACCTAATGATTTTGTATTGTCTTCCATTAATACTGTCTTACTAACGGAACTAGAACGTTCCTCACCATCCTCTTCCTCTTCTTTATCTTTCTGTCTTTTCTTTGTCATGTCTGTCTTGCTTCTGCGGATGAAAGGTAATGGCGGATGGATAGATCGCTGACGTTTAATTCTTGTCAGTTCCTTATCCGTCGGGATAAACACAGAAGTGAACCATTTCTCAGGAAACGTTGTGGGATCTCTGTTTGGTTCCGGACGTTTTGGTACTGGGATGCGAATCGTGTTTGAAGCAGTAAGTGGCTGGTTAAATAAGTCCAAACTGTTTGTGGTCTGAAGAAATCCATTCATGCTTTCGACTTCCTTTCTTACATGAAACAAATCATGTTCGTGTTGTTCCTTTAAGCGTTTCCTATCTTTTTGAAGTTTTTCTAAAAATCTATTCAAGGCTTGTTCGAGTTTTTCGTTTTGTAGATAAACGCCACTATAGTCAGTTTTCAATTCCTCCACATTCAAACGCTTATTTCTCTTCCCACCCCAAATCACGTCGTCATGCATGCTGTTGGATCAACAGGTACCGTTTATGCGTATCTAGCTGGTTTGGTAAGGCAATGGCTCGCTACATGAAAAAGAAACAGACTAAATGAATATATTTTAGAAGCATTCTTAATTTAGAAGACAAACTACCGTTGGTATTATTTAAAGTTTTAATCTGGTACAAAGGTGTGATACGATGTCTTTGTTGTAGTTTTATGTAAATAAAAATCTAGACAATTAAACTTTAAAACACATAAATATTCAACAGTACTGAGTAGTTCTTTTGCCATATATGTTTGTCTAGCGGTGCATGTTTGGCCTGTATCGTATTTCTGATTGTCTATACACAGCGAAAATGAAAGCTGAAAAGAACAAAGTCTCATTTAGGCCCTGGATACATATAAATGTTAGCTACTTACAAAATAGAAATTAGTATTTACTATGACAGAACGTCAAACGTATTTCGACTTTGCGTGGCGATAACAGCCAATACTGTATGCCGTGTTGTATTAAGAAAATACTTACATTGTAATGTATATTAACATCCCCTCTGCAACTTCAATAGAGAAAGCGTTCGCACAAGTCCAGGATTTGTATTGAAGTCATCATGGACATGAAGGTATATCAAACTGAACACTGATTTAATACTGGTCAGTGCAAAAGAATCAAGCGGTTGATAAGTCTATAGATATATTTAAATATGCCGGATTATTATCTCTTAGTGATATCAGTAAATCTTGCGTAAATTTTCCCAGGCTTTACTGAGTTGTGGATTTCAGCTCTCTAACGCGATATTTTGTCGAATGGTTACAACTAATGCGCATAAAACTTTGGACAGAGTAATGCGGTAAATATTGTTTTTGGATCTGAAATCATTGTTCTGAAGACTTGTCAATTGATAGATAAGTACTATGTCGCACAAACCTTCAAGCTAACACACGACATCAAAACACGCCTCCAACAAAACACATTGAAAGCGCCGAACAACCGATATGTGCATTTGGTACTTAATAAACAAATGGAAATAATTAGCGGGAACGGTCTAACGATACAGGATAATAGTGACGATAGCAGATCAGAACAGGCAATGTCCGCTATCGCATTTAAAAGGTACCACGCATTGTGTTACAAAGCGAGGACATGGATGTCGAATGAAGCGAGGCTGATTGCAGATAGGCATGGACATAGAGGGTAATTTTGAAATCCAATTCTTGTGAGAGGTGATAAATGACTTCCATCTAGACTACAGATAACCTATCTTAACAATGGTAAACGACAGAATGCTTCCGAAACCCGTCTTTATCCAGTTCCATTTGTTCTTAACTGTAGTCCGGTTTGTGAATTGATGATTTACGTTCAGTGTGAATGGCATTAAAATTAACCATTGTTCTATACATTATTCGAGTCGAATTGTCTTTTTTTCGCTAAGTGAGTTGTTATGTAATGTATTCTGCGTTTTCGTCCCAAAATATAAAGCATCATTTTTGTAAATTTCATCATTGATATCTTTAAGAAAAAAATTAATTGTTGTTGAAACAGATGGGTTCTCAAAGTTAAACAAAAGAACCGAAAATGCCTTAAAACAAACAAAAAATGGCATCTACCAAAATCAAAGACGTCTGCCAAAATGTAGCAGATATTATGTATACCAGAACAGAGAGAGGGATTGTTTTCTGTTCTGCGGTCTACCTTGGCGCCATCAGTCGCATTAGATGAACTCTTACGTCATCAGAGATCTTGCATATTTTGGACACGTGTTTAGGAATGACAGACATCGATATTTAGTGTAGGAGACACAAAGCATGTTAACATTTAATACATTAACAGGGCGTAGATTAGTCACTTCTGTAGATTACTCTGACAAAGTACGTTGGTTAACAGTTACCTACGCAGATGTTGAAAGTATCATGTGGAAATTCTAACTTGTTGACACATTGAAAGTACAATATTTGTACGTCGGTAGATATACTGTAGTACCGTGACATTCTGAGGATCAATGTCAGAATAACTTGAGGAATAAGTGTCATTAAGATTTGAAATTGAAGAGAATGAAGGGCATGAATCTAGCTAGTAAAGGACAAATCACCGGAGATATATCATAATGTGAAACTAATTAATTCAAGAAATGTTTATATGTTTTCTTTAGTGCCTTTGCATAAAAGAAGATTCACTTGAGTTATTAGAATTTAACTAAACTGTAAAGTACAAAGAAATCAAAATTTCTAAGCATAAAGTGATAACATGATATATCAAATGTATCACTAAAATGGTGTATCTTCAAATACCAAGCTGCTTCCGTTTAAATCCAAGCTTTCAGTGGTGAAGATATATACCGAGCTTCCAAGCTTGCAGTTAAAATGATGACGTTATATACCAAGCCCAAGTGAGGAAGTTATATGGAAGTTTTTTTTTTCTCAAAATTATGGTTCTATATACCATATTCCGTGTTTAATAGACATTGTTCCAAAAGTGTTTTTCACAAATATTCATGATATTCATTCTCAATTTATCTTAACCATATGCCATATCATATACAGTAAGTTCCTACAGTTTTGGTATTTTGTATGAGTAGACCTACTGAAGCAAGTCATGTATTTACAAGCATTCTAAAATTGTACACCAATAATTAGTACATTTATGAACAATAAATAGAGTACGGTGGGGTATTTTCAATCCCGTTATCGAGTTATTCCCCTTTCCATTGTTGGCCAGTAGCATTACAAGTGGAATAGGTTAAGGAGTTCATGTTGTATGTCAAACTTTTCAAACGTACAGTAAGGTGATAAAATTATAGGCTTGGCTGATAGAGCTACCATTAGTTTAGATAATACTTGACAGAGAGAATGACAAGTGTAAGGTATCCTTTCTAAATGGGTTTGATTTGGAAAAGGATAAGCTGCACTGCTCATTATTAAATGTGTTTTACCTCCTCTTTAATTTGAAAACATAAAAACAAAAACAAATACATAATGCGCATGTCCTCTACCATTACGAATATGAATAGAGGTGACAAGAGTACCCTCCGCGTGACAGAACACAGAATAATAAAATTCAGCACCAATCGACATACCAACATCCGTGGCAATGTAATTGATATTTTTCATAATGGTATTTATTCGTGGACGGATATCACTGTTTTCCCTTTAAATGCTGTTCAAATTGTTTGTGAAATATGATGAACCACTAACAGGAACAATACAATGGTATGAAAGCTGTCAGAATCAAGACATATTCACAAAATACCAAACTGGATCACGATCCCTCGAACAGCACAAACTAGACATACCGATGTCAGGAACGTTCACATAACATTGGTAAAATGTTCACTTCACTAAACAAAACGTTCAAATGACATTGATACAATGTTCACTTCACTAAACAAAACGTTTACATGACGTTGATAAAATATTCACTCCACTAAACAAAACGTTCACATAACATTGGTACAATGTTCACTTCACTAAACAAAACGTTCAAATGACATTGGTACAATGTTCACTTCACTAAACAAAACGTTTACATGACGTTGATAAAATATTCACTCCACTAAACAAAACGTTCAAATGACATTGGCACAATGTTCACTTCACTAAACAAAACGTTCACTTGACTTCAGTAACATAATGTTGTTGTCGCGTTAAACGTTTTAATGACATTAATGGCACGTACAATTTTGCACAAAAAATGTCGACATGACGTAGAAAATACAAACTAAACACGTTACAAAACTTTTCGTGAAATCCTGTTAATGAGGTTTATTGTGGTATTTGATCAGGCACGTTAAGCAAATCTGCATACATAGATTCGGACTCCTTTTCAGCTTCCTTTTCTTTAATATCCTCTTCGTCCTTGAGGATTTTCTCATCTATTGTCTTAATGAAGCTTTTCACTTCATCGTCTAGTTCTTCCCTACGCGCTTTCGTTGCCTGCAACAGACCCTGTTGTCGAATAGCACGTTTGTTTGGTATTCTATCAGCTAAATTGTCTATATGGGATATTTCCTTCAGTTTTCGTAATGACATAACAACGGGTTTCACAGGCTTGCTGCATATTATTTTAAGTCCACCTTCTGATTCTGGACGGCTTGATATTGTTGTAGTCGACATGGTTCTGTAGAATGGGTTTGATGATTTTGCTCTAGAATTTGAATTGTTCGATGGCCTCTGTCCTTTTGCACCTGGCGGCGCTGATTGCTGTCTTCGAATGCGAGGAATTGGGACGTCAGTAGCCGGGAGAACAGACGTGTACCATTCCTTCGGAAATTTCTTTCTTTTGTTTTTATTTCCACGACGTAATCTGGCAACTCTTTGCCGTTCGTCTTCTTCCTCGTCAGCGCCACCGTTAGGAAGAGATCGAATTTTACCTGTAGGTTTTCTGAACGAAAAGTCCTCGGAAGAGTCGGAATCACCACCCCATGAGTCTTCGGAGTCTGAATCTTTTTTCTTCTTTTGTTTCGGACGTGGACGTCGGGGTTTGTTGGCAGATTGGGCTAGAAGCGGATGCTCAGAAGTACTCTGTATTGCTTTGAGACCGACAATAGTCTCCTTCTGGTCTAGGATATCCAACTCGTGCTGTGAAGTTACACGGTGAAAATCCTTGCATAGCTGTTCGATTGTCCGAGCCAACTCTGTATCAAGTCTTTCGTTTTCGAAGTAAACGTCGCTATGGTCGATATGAAGAAGTTGATCTAACTTGCTTCGTTTTTTGTCCTTTTTGTTCTTTGAGTTCATATTTTATTGACCTCAGTTTTCATTTTGGCCACTTGTACCTGGAATAGCAACAGTGATTTTATAACCCAAAGAAGTCATTAAATAACACATGTCACTTCTTGTGACAGGACAATAAAAAATCAAACCTGATAATATATTGACACATTTTGTTTACATAACAATCATTGCATTTGCAACCTCATGATGACGAATTTGACAGGTAAGGTATACGTTTCTATGTATGCAAATTATGTGCATAATGGAAAGAAATATACATGTACCTGACATATCCTCAAAACAACCACAGATTCTTATGTTTAAAACATTTGTTTTTGTTTGTTTTGTTTGCTTGGGATTTTAAATTGATTATTATTATTATTATTATTATTTTATAATGACCTTTGCCATGGAAAAGGGTAAAACTGGAAAATCAGTTGTAAACGTACGGATATTTCATTCGGCATTATCATTCTATATTGTCAATCACGGTACACTGCGTTTATTTCCACTAATAGCGTCATTCTAATTCATTATAAGAGTCATACTTAGAAGATTAACGAACGCACAATAATCGACAGAAACAACTAAACAGAACGAAAACAACATACTGTCGTGCAATAACTTGAAATGAACCCACAGACATGTATGTTACTTTGTTACAAAACATAAATAAACGAACCCTTATCCATGCTATATACAATAATCAAGACTGTTTATCAGTAATGTGATTCGGTGGTCAAAGGTACGCTGGCGCACGGTTTGTATGAATACACGTGAAGGACATAGATATCGTCTTCAGATTAGCGGGTATCACATACAGGGGCCACGCTTCGGCAGCGAGGCATTGTCTGTAGGCAGATGACACCTTCATGACTCATTAAACTAATTGGGCATATTGCGACTCGTTTGCGCGTGCATGGTGAAATGTAACTATACCTGAACGAGCTCAAATCTACTTGAAATACTTTGCTATGTAACATTTATTTTCGACATGTCAGATTTTAGTATTGTTCTCATAACTTAGAAACCAAAATATCGTAACATGCATGTTTTCAAACTGAAATCCACATTCGTCTTGTTTCTGTAAACGTTAGCATAGGCAAACTGTCCTGAATGTTACTATAATGTTATCACTTACTATTAACGCTATGGAACTTGGTATGTATAGTTGTATACATTTGTCCTCAGGAGTCCACAGTAACTAATATAACCCGCCATACTATACTGAAGTCAGTCTAGTTTATGTCTTCTGTTTTTAACAAGTAATTGATGTTCGCAGTACTATTTTGATTTAAATATTATATATACATTTATGTAGCATGAATAGTAAATTAGGAACCCCGAGGTAAGTCTTTGTCCTCTAATATGTTAATTTTTTTCATTACAATGTATCTTCAATATAGGCCGAATAGTATTCATGATAAAAAAATTCATAGTGAACAGCGTTTCGCATGTAGGGTTAAAATGTATTACAACAGAGACGATGATGATGTAGTTACTAATATTGAGTGATTTGTCATTGACATTGAAAGGAATCTGTTGACTTTTTGTTTATAACAATAAACTTATCTATTTAGTATCTATAGTAACTGTTACCTTTTTATTTTATATTATTATTCTTTTTCATCACAGTTCTGTATCTCATTTTAGACAAGATATATTTTATCATACTAAATATTCTATATTTAATTATGTCCAACGTTCCTTAATTCAATGAAAAGCATTTAGCATAAGAGTAAAGTATTAAAACATTAAAAATCCAACGGCGTTGCTAAATAAGTTAACGTTTGTGAAACTGTAGATAGAGGGAACATTTGTGAAACAATAAATAAGGATCATTTGTGAAACTGTAAATGAAGGAACATTTGTTAAACTGCGGAAATGTTATATCATTGTAAATTATATGTAACCCCTCTCCTGGTTTCAATCTCGAACATTTTCTGTTTATCTTTTTAAATCAGTATATAAATCAATTTATAAAATGTTTTTCTACGCCATCATAATATTGATTAATTATCACCCATATACCACAGTGTAAATTTGAATAAAAAAATCTGTAAATGAGGGACTGTCTGATGAAGATTTATATGCCTTTACGTGACGTGTGTTCCGGACAAAATGTTTGTTTAAGAATATTTATGAAGACGCATACACTACAGGAAGTCAGAATTACATAAAGACTAGACAATACATACGACAGAGGTTTTTTTATCTTCAGTGAATTTACGGGGATAGTATGTTGACATAGCGACCCGCTATTGTAGAATCATTGTATTTCCTCTGTAATGTAACGTCGTGTGGGAGAAAGCATACTAAAACCTCACTGATATGTAAACAAAACTATGTTGTACAGAAGGAACTCTGTAGTTTCTACAAGTATTCATATTATTATGGTATCAAAATCCTATTTATCTCGTTATGATGTGGATATCACTAACATCATCTAATACCTATAACGGTACATCCAAATAGCACCATACTGAGTCCAAACTGCAATAAACTCGGTTCGGTTGATCAAACTGGGTGGTCATTAGAAATAAGTCTATATAATATAAAACTTGTAACACTGTCTACAAGAATAGAGATTGTTCCTATAGCTATTGTTAGTATCATGTGTTATAAACCCAGTTATTTCAACGGACAACAGTTATATAATAAATGGGAGCGCTCTTACACGTTGCCACAAGTAACGTATAAGTAGAAGTGGAGACGTTCTCCTTTTAATTGGGTCAGACACGCAATGATGTTACTATAAAACAATACTTCTTGTTATGATTATGTACTACACCGGTACTGATATATGGCTATCGATTATCTATTAGAAACATTAAGAACATTCTTGGTCTATTACATTACAATATGACATTCCTTTGGATTTTATTCGTATCTACGGCCTAATGTGTTTGATATTGTATTCCTTTTTATCATTGACAAATTGTTTGTATAGGGATTATAAATCTCAAACAATGTCTGTAATGGCACATTACGTGTACATACCTAATTATGGTGCCTTCATAGAATTAGGTATAAAATTCAATAAAAGTGTATTATTTTTATATTGATATATAAGTTAACTAATTGAATATAGATATAAAGCAGATGTTTTGTGTATTCTTTTATTTACGTTAATGATTTCATGAAATAATTCCAAACGATTTTTTTATGTTTCATTTGCAGGTTAACAATACAAGATTTATCACTAATGTGACACGTATTTATCTGTATATATACTTACTGAAGCAGTATGGAGTGGCCCTTTTCTCCTCTGTCTAGGTTATCCCTTCTCGGTACCACTGGGTTGTTGCCGACTTTGCACTGTAATGGTAAAGATGACGACCCCGTTTGTCGACCATAAACGACCGCTCGGATGTCACTATGTATACGGGACAGGGTATATTGTTATGTTGGGTGCGATCGAGTGAATACCATTTTCGGCCAAACCTGGCACAATGTACGGGTATATACACAGGCTGCTAGCTATTGATCCTGGTGTAGGGTTTTCATGTAATCTATGTATGTAATCTTTATAAATGGAATGTCCATCAAATAGACTCTGCATGGACTTGGATTGGTAAATATAATAGCTGATTAAAGAATCTTATGTTTTAACCAGATAAAATTCAATGACACAATGCGGACAATACATCGCAAACCATTGGCTATACTGTATGCCCACCCCCTGTATAACCATACCACCACAGAGAACAGTTACGTAGACAATTTTGGTAGAGGAGGCCGTTAAACAGCTCAAGCAGTATAAAAGTACAGTATATATAGAGTCAGCGAAATAATTATATCGTTAAATATTCACTACAACCACATCATAATGTTTAAAAACAAAATTTAAACATGTCAGAAATGTTCCTAGATTTCAGCCTTGTTATAACTGTATAAAGGAGATAAAATGATTTGATTTGTTTATTAAGTCCCTGTATTTGTCATGTTATGTCAATTGTTTTAACTTGTAATCAGGTTTCGATTTATTTGTTAATATTATTCTCTTATCATGTCAATAAGGAGGCTAATTCACCCAGGTGTCGTAAATGATTGTTTTTTTCACTCCATGATGAATTAGTAATGCAGTATTTTCGAAAATAGGTCGGGCATCTCTTAACAAAACTAAACATTAGACAAGTGATGTTCTTATCACAGAAGACTTCTATTTGATTAAGGATTGACCTGTTGAGTTCAGCTTTCAGAGTTCAGGACCGACAATAAAATAAATTTGTCGTTCTTTTAGAACAAATCTTGAATAAAAACGGAAAGAACTAAAATAAAGAGTTATGTGCAATTAAGCCTGCTTTCTACAATTTTGAATATACTTTGAGAAAATGATTAATGGGTGAAAACAAAAAAGTCACATTTGTCTCTAATGATTGTATCAGATCAACATCGTTACATTCGTTTCAGTTTATCTACTGTAGTGTCATGACATTCCATATCCTTCGATATATGTAATGGGATATTTCTCTGAAAGCATCCTTCACGCTTATACATTATGGATATCGTATTTCATAAACAGGCCCATATAATCAATTTGATTCTGTGGCTATATGGAGATGGACGATACTACAGACGGTTACTTATGGCAATATGACATTAACATTTCAAAAAGTCGAGCAAGAGGTTTTAACTGGTAAGGTGTTGTATTCTAAAGTAATGCATATTCATACATGATAAACTCTATTCTTATAAAAGAATATAATTAAAATTACTTTTTCTCACGTAACGCATTATAACGTCTATGCTTAATGCTTCCGTTCCTTATCAACCCCTGTAACGTAACTTTGACAAATGTAAAAACATTTTTAAAACTTGTGAAGTGCAGATATATTGTAAATAGGTGTCCTTATAATTCGTCTAACATGTAATGCATCTTCTCCAAACATATATGTACCATTTCTATGGCAACTGTGAAGTGTGACTTATAGTACGTTAGATGACATCCATTGAGTAACCATTATATTTTTTCCTTGTGTTTTTGCATGGAATCAGCAATGGCTTGTCGTCAAAACGGCTATTCCACATAACGGTAACAGTGTCTATAATAAATAACTTATTTCAATAATATCGCCAACATTATTAGAGCGAAAATCCACATATCATTCAATCAAGTAAAAGCTAGCAGTCGGGCCATGAAATGACTGGCAAAAGCATTATTACGTCATAATACAGCGAAATCAATTGCATTTATAGTACCATAATTACATTGGCCTTTTAGTATTGTTGTAATGGATATGCTAATATCTTAGTATAAATTAAGTTTTTTGAACTGTCTTTTTCAGATATAAGACAGCAACACTGAACTGTCTTGTTATGGCTGAAGACAATAATACTGAACTGTCTTGTTATGGCAGAAGACAAAAATACTGAACTTTCTTGTTATGGTTGAAGACAATAATACTGAACTGTCTTGTTATGGTTGAAGACAATAATACTGAACTGTCTTGTTATGGTCGAAGACAATAATACTGAACTGTCTTGTTATGGCAGAAGACAAAAATACTGAACTGTCTTGTTATGGTCGAAGACAAAAATACTGAACTGTCTTGTTATGGTCGAAGACAATAATACTGAACTGTCTTGTTATGGCAGAAGACAAAAATACTGAACTGTCTTGTTATGGTTGAAGACAATAATACTGAACTGTCTTGTTATGGTTGAAGACAATAATACTGAACTGTCTTGTTATGGTCGAAGACAATAATACTGAACTGTCTTGTTATGGTAGAAGACAATAATACTGAACTGTCTTGTTATGGTCGAAGACAATAATACTGAACTGTCTTGTTATGGTAGAAGACAATAATACTGAATTGCCTTGTCATGGTATAAGACGGCATCATAGGACGGTCTTGATAAGGTACAAGACAGTAACATTGACTGTCTTGTTATGGTAGAAGACAGCAACATCGAACTGTCTTGTTATGGTAGAAGACAGCAACATCGAACAGTCTTGTTTAGGTATGAGACGACAACACTAAACTGTCACATTATGTCATTTGTGGTCGTTCTAAATGATAGTTGTGCAGACAAATATAAGCATATTGCAAAATGCGATATTTGCCTTAAAAAAGTTTTGTCTTTACAACGACCAAAAAGCTTTGTCATTTATAACGATCAAAAATGACAAGTCATAACAGTCCAATGCTTAAATGAAATTCACAAGGTTCCACGCATAGATCCACTGTGAACGACCATACGTCCGTGCCCTGCTATGTGAGTGTAACCATGTGGTACAACACAGTATAGAAATGTAACCATTATGGATAGATATGTTTAAATAGATGCAATTGTTTGCCTATATCCGTTCAACACATGCTTTGTCAGTGGGTATAGTGGTGTCGCTGTATATTTATACAGTAGTGAGGTTTAATGAACTCATTATGTTGGTATGTATACATAGAAATAATTGTACATGTACTCAGTTGTAGGTGTTACACCTAGGTTCACTTAAATATGAAAGAAATGTCAACTTCCGTATTTTATTTTTTTTATTTGATTATTGTCTCAGCTGAACAACACTTTCAGAAATCACCGTAAAACAACCACTTTCTACAGTCTGGCCATTGGTCATTCGGCGTAATTTGCCACTACCGAGACAGAAATTTGTATTACATTCAGTAATACAGCAATACAATAACGTTTTCAAAATATTTTTAGAATAGAAAAAAAGTAATACTTTCACAATATAAGAAAAGAATAATTTGGTAAATCTACAAAAACAAAAGATTTATCAGTAAAACAAATCTCTCATTTCACGTCGTTTTTACATATTGTTCTCTGTGCTTTGAGTAATTTTCTATATTTTATTGGAGACTATGTAATTGTCGAATATATTGTGTATAGCGATAATAAGGTGAATTTAACAGGTATCTCTTCAACTAAAAATATTCACATGAAATGCAGCAATTTTCAATATGATGTATCCCACATACTTGTATTGTGCCATCGGTGAAACCCTTCGTGCCTTTTCTCAATGAGAGCTATCAGTTCCTATACCGCAGTGTAGTAGTGATATCTGCATTCCTATCTAAACCCGATTCAAACAAGTTGTTAGTTAGTTACTATATCTTTATTATTCTCAAGGAGATTTCTTGAGCGTGGTTTTTATCAAATTCATCCCAAAAGACTTCAATTACTATGGTGCCTCTCAGAAAACAGTGTTGTCCCTTCTTTGTTTATAGGAATCAGTAATGAACTCTCTGAAATTGTGAGATATAACGCCAAAATCATTGCATGTGACCAGATATTAACTAAAATGTACTAAAAAGGGTAGAGATGCTTCAAAATCGCAATAGAATTTGGTCTTCCGGACCACTTGGTCTTATTTTCCGTGTAATTTTTCAAGGTTATCTGTGTAAATCTTTTTTATTTCCTCTCTTTCGCGGAAAATTCTGAACACGATATCAGTGCAAACATGCTACAAGTGATCAAAGTATGGACTTAATGCTTGAAGAACTCATCAACATTTAACAAGGTCGCGGCCACCAGGTACTTTTGTGGTGGTCATCAGATACTTAGGTGGCGAATGTCTGATAATTACCGCCATCACTAAATATATATACCTATATGAGCTTGATAGGCTTCAAACCGCATCTTTCATGGCACTATATGTGTTTGACATTATCTTTAACAATGTTCGAGGTACCTGGCTCGACTCTGACAGTACAGGGCCCAAGAGTCACCATAGACGATTAAGGTTTTAAAAACACGGGTAATAATCCGTTATGTAGCGTATCGTATAAACGAAAACAAAAACAAAAAACAAAACAAAAACTAGATAAAAAAAATCATTCCTTACATACGTGTTCAGCTACCACCAACAACCCCATTATTATTCATCTAACATATGCTTGTTTATCAAGTATCTATACATTAATATTTCCATTGGCATCAAAACAATTATTTCAATAACTACATTTTAATACACATAAAACATTAGCACAAACCGATCTTTGATACATACTCAAACATTCGGCCTGTTCGCTTGTGTAGACAGGCCGATTCTCTTGAACTTTAAATGTAATACTTCACACATAAATCGGAACGGCCCTTCAAAGGCTTGTTTCAAAAAGCAAAATCAGGTGATACAGCTGATCGTTCAAAATGTAAGAGTTATCTCTCTTAGCTGATATTAAAATGATGTCGTAAAGTAGTTTTACGATATAGCTTAAGTAAGTAATGGGTTAAGATGATAAATTATAGACACATTCCTCTCCAAAGAAGAAATGCTATTAACAGTACATTATGTATTGCATATAGTAATTCAATATGTTATGCGATTATCTTTTTTGACAACCAAAAACTAGCCTGTGACAACACGCATGGACCACATTGAGCACACGCTGTTTGCTACCAGATCGAAAAACAAATGTAAGATGATTGTGATCGGGTAACTTATTGTATTGGTGACATTTCTCTTTTGAGCAAGTCTTCTTCCTTCATCTGTCATAGCGAAGGCTTCTCATTCAACACAGAAACTCCCGCGACACATTCAGGACTCTCAGTTAGGGACGTATCACGTTCCTGTATAATGTATTGCAATTATCTGATGAGTTAGTTTATATCCAGTGTTAGAGTCAGAAGAAACTCGATTTGTGTAAGTTGTGCTGTTTGACAGGGTTAACCAGTTCATACATCTGTTGGTATTGGTGAGAAAACACGAAACTGACAAATTATCTTTGAAATAGGCTTAATAACAATACATTATATCCTTGGCATATGAGTTTCGGACCCCCTAAGAATCATTTATCGCTAGCTACGCTATGTCGATGAATGTCTATCGAACAAATACATAAATGACTTGAAATGTGTTCATACTATAAGAATTAAAACGAAAGTAACTAACCAGAGAAAAACCAGTATTTTTCTAAAAACAATATAGATTAATATAGTTTAATATGTACACTGTATTGAGAAAAATTATACAATTTGCCAAAAACATATTCTCAAAAACATTACTGTGAATGGTTAGAATAATAAATTTTCATTCTTTCTGGAGGCATAATATGTTACAGCAACCAAGATTATCCATGTGTGAGGTCAAGCAGGTCAATAGTTCAAGTGATATGGCTAGACAAAATGGTTGTTCCGAAATACCTAACGCTCCAAAACCGATGTCTACACGATATATTATATCTTACAAGGACATACATACATACAGATACATATATTTTATGTTATCTTAGTTTCACAATATGTGTTTTATCAACAAAATAAATTTAATCATAATATAAATACTTGCTAAAACATTAAGTTAATATACATGTGTATAATGGAGGTGGTATCATATGACGACGCTTCTGAAATGGCATACTAATCATTCCAATAATATGAAAAGGCGGAGCCTAAAGAGAGTATAGCTGCACAATTACAGAAATGGAGGAATTTGACTTAACGCATAAATAATGTACACAGGAATAGATACATGTAGTTTCTGGATAAGTAAATTAATAGTATGAGTCATGCTGTGTTGAATGAAATCTTGGTTACCAGGATATAAGAATATTTACATAGTCAATATATTTAACTCCAAATAAACAGATATTTTTGCTGTTTTATTTAGTTTGTATTTGAAATGTTCTTCAGATGAATAAAATGTGAACTCCTGTGTTAAGGAATGCAGCCCTAACTTCTTGTAATTAAGTGAAAGTGAGTCATAGCATGTAATGCGGGAGGTTACTCTAATCTTGGTCATCCAGCCACTATATCACATTACAATGTTTCTAAATGATGGGTCAGAGACATATATAACATACACTGTAATGTGTTATATACCTCTCTGGATTGAGTGAGGCTCTTTCTCTTGTGGACAGGGCCTTTCTCTTGTCATTTAGGATCATGCCATTATCATGACATAAGCGTGTGTGTGTGCTTGTATAAATGTTGTGAGGTCATGATACTGGTTGATGTTCTTGTATATATGTTGTGATGTCATGATACTGGCTGGTGTTATGATATGTTAAGCAATAAAAAGCCAATTTTTTAGCTAATTGTAAAGAGAGTTAGTGTAAATAAGTATATTAGGGCATTCTGTTTTTATGTTGGTTTCAAATGTACATTTAACTTTGATTTCAAAGGTGTACTTCCATAACAATTTTCCTTTTTGATGAACTATATACTATTTACAAAGGTAAGATATATGGGTACTAAGGGAAGGCAACTCCACTCACATCCCAATCATTTCAAGCTGCACTCTATATGCTGTACATTAGTTAAGTAAGATTTGTCAAGACAGGAATATTGCCACAATGGCTGGTGTGTCTGGTATCACAGGAAATGAGATTCTGGAATAGACAACATGTACATGTCTGTGATGATATGCTCTGGCATCCTAACATCACTATTAGCACTATGTTCATAAACAATTGGATTCCAAAGTTTGTGAAAATTATGTTTGTTTAGATATTGCTTTCAACTGTATACAAATAAATATATTATACTATATAGTGGGGGCTGTGATTGCTCAGTTGGTTAGAATATATTGGCCCTCATAGAGTCATATGAAGATACAAGGTGCATTGTTTGACCTTCCGTGGCATGTTGTTGTTCCACCACCTACTACAAGAAGACCCCGCATTTAAATGACTCTGGCTGTTTCCGGGTGATAAACTCAGCAAACAAACATGATCATGGTGTGTGTGCGTTTGGATGTTCTGGGAAAAAGAGAAGAGATATAGTTATAGCATTGCTGTACTGACATTGTTTTATTCTAATATTTCAGAGATTGGTATTCAGGATGATTGCCTATGATGATGAAGATTTGGATGAACATGTTGACTTACGTGGTGGCAGTGATGATGAGGTAACTACTTACATGACTACAACCATTGATTCACAAAACATTGTGTTCAGGCCCGTTACATTTAATACTCTGATACAGTCATCAGACTTGTATATATGTGTTTAGAGTACAATAATTTAGGAATAATTCCTATTACAATTAGTGAGTAATAGCTTTTCTGAATCTATGGGTATATATTATGTTTTTCTTTCCCCAGTCAGCTTTTACTATTATTGAGATAAATATCTTAGTGGAAGTATATGATTAACATTTTGTTAACACTAATTTTCTCAGACTGCAATGTATATGTAAATAATGTATAAAGAAAAAAAACTGCTTGCACTATAAAAATGTTCCATGGACAAATGCAATACATGTTTATACATTCATATTATCAACTATTTCAACAGTTCAGCGATGCAAAGTATTCGGTCCTGGAAAAGTAACTGTGATATTTTTGACAGGATTCTAATTTTATTTACAGGTTCCAGATACAAGAAAGCATGCTAAGCTGATTGATGCCATCGCTTCTTTAGATGGGAAAAACAGGTAAGGAACCAGAGATAAATTGGATGATTTATATGATCGGAATGTTGGTCTTTTCATATCACTAATTAGCTGTATTTTTTACTTTGTCAGAAAATAATATACAGTAGTCACAAATTAAATTTTTTTACTGGGATTTTAAATATCTTATCCAGTCACATTTATTCCAAAAGTAAATAAAAAGATAAATGAAATAAATAAGAAATTTAAAGAAAATAATAAATTGTAAATATGTTGATCATTATAAATTTGCCAAAAGAACAAAAACATGTAAAGAATGACAAAAATATGTTGGAACAGTAAACCAAAGACTTTCCTTCATAAATACAAAGATACAATTTTATTGTGTATGTGCAGAATCCATGGTCTAATTTCTGTCGAATCTAGGATGGTCTTGTAAAATAATGCAACATCTGCTCTAATATAAAAAATATAATACATAATTTCACACTGTTGAATTTCACGCAAACTTTGAACTTTTAATAGTTTTGATGTTATGCTAAAGTAAGGCAAAAATTGAATCCACATGAAATTAGGTAAAGTTTGTCCATGTCTTATCATGTCAAATGACAGTTTGTTGTACATAATGTTACATTAGTGTTTGTTATTGTTCTCTGTCCTGACACAATACATGTATATACATATCTCTGCTTTAGTGAGTACAACCTGTTATATTATACATTATATTTTGCAACAAGGTCAGTAGAAGGTTGGTGTACATAACCTCATGTGAAGATCAGAGATGTGTGATTCCATGCTGCCTATCTGTAGTAGTCAGTGTTTTCTCAAGAATCTGAGAATATTCTTAGTAACATACAAGTAAACTGTCCAATTAATACCAATGATGAAAATTTATGTATTTGTGTATTTTATAGTCATCGACTTAGTCAAAGAACAGTTCCCACAGCTCAAGTCTCAGAGTTTGGCTTCACTGGTAGTAGTAACAGTAAGTTTATTATTTTCAGTGAATAAATCATACATTAAAATCAAATTTTCCAGAAAAGTTAGAAGTGAGAGTAAAAAGAGAGTTCAGACACAAAGATCAGGAAATAGCTTTTAATATTTTCACAAGTGAAATATCTGGTATTTTAATTTTTTAACTCTCAAAATATTTATTGGGAAATCTTTTAAATTCACCAAAATTAAAGTCTGCAAGAATGAAATTCATTGTGAGTCTTAACAGGTTTAATTTGTGTTTGACAGAGAAAGCCAAAGTGAGACTATATGAACTGGTGGGATCGCTGAAGGATACCACTAGTCATGGAGAACTCAAAAAACACCTCCGTACGATTGACAAACGCAGCAAAGTGGTCTCTGTTCCCTTACCAAAACATGAACGTGGAAAGGTTGGTCCTAAAAATTATTTCTAAATGTTTTTGCAACAGTTAAGTGATAAACAGTTTGTATTAATAGATAATAGGTATTGTTTGTATGTCACATGACATAGTGTTGAGCATACATACTTCTTTGATTCAAAACTATTTTGTGGAGATTTTACATACATTTAAATCATTAGCTTCATGTGATATTCTTTTTCTGTAGATTGAACGGTCAGTAGCATATGAGAAGACAAGTGAAGAGCTGAAGAAATGGGACCCAGTTGTGAATGAGAACAGATCGGTAAATATCTCAGTATCAATCAGTGAGGATGACAATTTATCTAAACGATATCCAAGCAAATAACAGGATTTTACAATAATTTTCATTCCATATTATAAGTTTGAAGCAAATCTGAACAGCAGGCTAAAATTAAGAAAATGTGTTGAGTTTCATCATTATACTAAATGATGTCACCAAAATTATTTGTAAATGTTTAGGAAAACACATTTCCCTGTTAATATTTTAGAAGCCATGTGCATAAGATAACACTTATCCTTGTCAGGATTCTAGAGGCCTCATTCCTGAATGGATTTTATCAATCTTCATGTATTTTTGAAGGAGCATTATACCTTTTAAAAGTTCAAATTTCAATGTTTTAGGGTCGAGGAAAGTTATTAGATAGAAAAGACCATATTAGATTATCATTAATTGCAAAATTAAACTGGCTTTTCCTTGCACTGTTAACTAATAATCATTGTTATTTATCAGGCAGAGCAGATTGTGTTTCCTCTAAATCAACCGTCTTTGAAACTACATACAGCAAGCAAATTTGCAGGAATCAAAGTGAGTACACATTCAATTTTGATATTTATTTTTTCTTTGTTTACTAAATCAATACAACATTTATTAACAATCAGCAATATTTTGCTTTATTTTATTGCATTTTATACTCAAAAAGAAATTCTCTTAAATATTCTTGCTGTAAAGTCCAAACAACACCTGAAATGCATTGGAGAAAATCATCCTGTTACTTGTAGACATTGATGTAAACTTATGGAATTATTCCCTCAGATGAGAATCTGAATTTGAATTAAAAAAAAAAAATTGAAGACCAAGCTTGGGGCATTACCTAGGGTTCACTCTCATAGTTCAGATTATATGTTTATCAAATCGTTTCTATTTATGACTCTTTTTGATTTGGTTGGTCCATTGCAGAATATGCTGCCAATTTTGCTTAAGATCATATGAAATCATATGTGCATAACACTAAACTCTGTGAATGGTATATTTGATCATGAAGATCGGAAAACTTGCTTTCGTGTGGAATTGCATCTGAATGTGCAGTTATTTTTACAGCCCAGAACTCCATTAGAGATGGAAGTAGCTGCACTGCTTCAAGGAAGTCAGAATGTGCCAACTAGAAATAAAGAATTGACAAAAGCAGAAGAGAAAGCTCTACAAGCTATGAGTATCGAGGAGGTAAGAATAAAATATGTGGTGTTATGACTTGGTCCTGCACTTACCAGGTGCCCTGATACATACTTAAATCAACTGATCTATCTAATCTTTTAAAACTTTTTGTCATTTCATGCCTATTTCTACACATAGACCTTCATGACATTAATGAATTGAAAGTGATCGAAATTAAGTAAAATAAACACTCGCAGTATAACAGATGTATTGTCCCCCAGGAAACTTCAAAACCATTCAACTCAAGTTCACAAAACATGCTGTATATATCAAGTTAGTACCCTAGTTGTGCCTTTTGCTATTGAGGATATTTCATCTTTTTGCTGTTACCATGGAAAAATAGTCAATAAACACAAAATTACTGTTAACTTTCCTTTCTGGACTACAACTTGGAAACCATTCACCTCAACTCTACAAAACTATTTGTTATAAGTTAAAGTGCCCGAGTTAACTTTTTTTCTGTTACCATAGGAACAAATAACCCTCTTCACAAATTAAAGTTTTTCTGGACCAGTGCTCTGAAACCATTTAAGATAATTGCTCATGACGTATTTAAGTACTTATTTTGTTAACATGGAAACAGATAGGCCAAATCACAAAATTAAGTTTTTTTCAGACCAGTTCTCTTAAACTGTTCAAGGCCATATCACAAAATTAAGTTTTTTTTCAGACCAATTCTCTTAAACCGGTCAAGGTAATTACCCAGTACTCAAAACTTGAACAAGTATCAAGCTGTCTTTCAAACACGCTTTGTGTTATATTTTTTCATGTATTGACTGATTATGGACCAAAAAAATTTATAGGATGGTATATTTAGCTTTCAATTGCTTGGAAAATATGTCAAATATTATGTTGTTATGTAATTTGTAATACATCTAGGAACTTTCACTGTAAGTTCACAGATTTATCACTACGTTTGTACTTTTATTGAGGCCGTACACCAGCGATTTATGCTGAACTTGTTCCTTCTCACATTTGGATTGAACTTGTAAGATGTAATGTTACCTATAAAAATCCTTTATCATTCAGGCTAGAGAGAGGAGGTCAGAACTGCAGAAACACAGGGCACTTCTCTCTTACAAAGAATCCAAGGCACGTTGGCAGAAAAAGATTAAAAGTAAAAAGTAAGTAGATAGTGGCACTTGACCACAATACTTCCATGTTGTCTGTAAGAAATTTTGGGTAACATTATTTGTTACTGAATGATAAACATTCCAAAAACCATTGACAACATTCAAGTGTCTACACACTCCTCTACTTAAATGGACAGTGCTATCAAATAAAAATATGTTAGTCAGGTTTGTAATCACTTAACTGAGAACATATTGAAAAATTCCACAAAATGAAATTAAAAAATGAACTGAAACATGTCAGACCTGTGTTATTTAATGAACATAACTTTTATAAATCTTATCAAGATTACGGCTTCTGATCATTACATAATACAGATATCACAAAGTTTTGAGGAAGGAGAAGCTGAAACATGAGAAGAAAGCACTTGATGAGCTAGAAAAAAATGATCCAGAGGGATACCAGGAAAAGCTGGATGACATCAACAAACAACGCATACAGGTATACATTGACATCTATACACAAATGTAGGATACGTATGAATGAAAATATTGTAGGATATGAACTTTGATGCTTGGAATATTGTATATTGAATATTATATCACATTTAGGATGAATTTAGTAGTTTTCTTGATAAATATTTCATCTTGGTTAAGAAATCAAAGTTTATAGCTCAAATATCTTGAAAGCTATTTAAATTTTTTTTTCAGTCTAGATAATGAAATTCCATTTTTGATCTGATGTAATAATAACAAGGCTTTCTGTTGTAGGAGAGGATGAATCTGAAGCACAGAGGTGGGAGCAAATATGCCAAGAAGCAAATGATATATGCCAAGTATGATGACAAGGTAAATTATCTATTATTGTTACCTGAGTCATCCTAACTGCACTTCCTACATGTATGTGTATATCTTGCTGAAGTTAAGGTGTTGGCAGTCCTGGTACCTAATTGTTTACAGTATAGTCTGAAATCTCTAAGGTTTACTGACTTCCCATTATCACAATTCGATACTGATATGCAGATCTCACCAACATGTTTAATTGCAATATTACAAACCATAGATTCAAGAAACATACTTCTCAGGCTTTCTAAGTATACAAGGTTATAAATAGAATACATTTGTGTGTATTTAATGGTCATGTTAGAGTACATACCAATAATATTTTACTTCAGTCAACATATTCAACAGTTGATGATAATTATTTGGAAAGAAAATTCCATATTTGTAAGACCACACTTTCAAGAAGGTTTTTTTTTCTATGTTTTGCTTTGCTTCGCTGTCCCACCAGCTAAACATATATTTATGACACCTGTCGTAAATTCCAGTTCAAAATCAGATCTGGACCTTCAAGGCAAAATGAGTTTTTGTGTGAATAACTTATATCTGCTATTCTGCTTTTGGCGAGATCTTCAAGATGTCGCTGCAAGTTTATCTTTCCTTACCTCCATAAATTACCAGAAGTCAGGGGATCTTATTTGATTGTCTTCATGCTAACTACTCTGACCCCTATAGATTACCAGAAATCAGGGGTAATATTTAGGATGTCTTTATGCTAACTACTCTGACCTCCATAAATTACCAGAAATCAGGGGTACTTATTAGGATGTCTTCATGCTAACTACTCTGACCTCTATAAATTACTAGAAATCGGTGGTACTAATTTGAATGTTTTCATGCTAACTACTCTGACCTTCATTTAGCTCTTAAACAACGACAATATTAGGGGTATGATAAGGATGTCTTTATTGGTCTATTAAGAAGTCATATAAAAAATAATGTTTATACATAGAAATATGTATAATGTTGTACATATGTAGTTACTTTTTTATATATTTATATTTTTAGCTTACTTAGATATCTATTATGAATTATATTGGCTGGTATTAAGATCAAGGCACACTAATTTAAGGGTAATCTATCATGGCTGAGGGAGAAGTGTCACTCCTTGTAATAAATAAGAAATTAAAAAGGTAGTAGATGTTATCTGTTGACCTTATCTAGAGTAACATGTACACTCTAACTGTAATCTAATTGTAATGCTGGCACCCCTGAGTACAGGTACATTGTGCTTGACATTACAGGTAAAGTCACCTGCATGTTTATTTGTATATTGATGAAATTTCCACTCTCATGTAATGTTTGCACAATACCCTATATCTAAAATTTTATGGTTCTGGAAAAGATTGGTCTGAAACTTTAAACGAACAGATTTGTAGAGTAACCAGGTTATACATATGTGCATTATTACAAATTAGCACTGCTGTTAATTATGATATCATCATATCATTCTAAAATCTATTTGTTTTGCCAGGCTCGCCAGTCTGTCCAGGACATGTTACAAAAGAGTCGCGAGCTAACCAACAAGATAATCACAGACGCTGGTGATAGTGACTCAGATGGAGGTGTCTCTATGGACAGTGAGGATGAGTCAGCAATGTTAGAAAGTGAAATGACTGAAGAGGGAAATCATTCACAGAAGAATCCATGGATGTCTGTAGAATCTAAAAAACCTAAATCAACAGGATTCGAGAAACCAATAGCAATAGTCAATACAGATACTAAACAGGATTTGATGGAGGTACCAGCAAGAAGAAAGGAACCAGAATCACAATCTAATGAGGATTCTGATTTTGACGAGATAGAAAATATCTTTGAGTCGCCAAAAGTAATCACAAAAGAAGAAAGCAATAAACTTCAGTCAAATATCAAAGCAAAACAAGAAAACAAAAAGCAGCCTAAAAAGAAAAAGAAACAAAAAAGTAAACAGAACAAAGCAGGAGCAGAAAAGCCGAAATTACAGCAAGTCAGCGTTTCCAAGGAAGAGGAAGTGGATGAGGAGGAAGGTGAGGAGGAGTTAATAACTGAAACCCTGACAAGGAAACAGACCTTGGAGGACATTGAGGATGGACTGCTTGATGAAGAGGAAGATGAAAAGGACCAAAAAAGGAGAAGAAATACTGAAAGAGGTATTACAGAATCTTCAAAGCAGCAGAAAGATAAAAGTTCTGAGGTACAAGTTGATCCAAAAAAACTCTTCACCTTGGAATCCAAGCTGGTGAATATTAACAATCCAGATGTGGTTACAGGAAGTGATGATGAAGATGATGAGTTAGATGCTGATGAACAGCAGAGGTTGACAATTGCTCAAGCCTTTGAGAATGATGATGTCATTGATGAGTTTACTAGAGAAAAGAAAGGAATTGTAGACAGAGATAACCCAAAAACTATTGATCTTACACTTCCTGGCTGGGGCGAATGGGGAGGCACTGGTGTCCAAATGTCAAAACGCAAGAAAAAAAAGTAAGTTTGTTAGGAACTGTCAGTTCCTTCATAAGTTTTCATCATACTTTGCAATTTATATCTGTCATTTAAAAACTGACATTGAAATTTAATCTTGAATTGTAGATACAACAATCTTTAACATTTATGTTGTAAGTGTGAATAAGATGCTACTTTGTGTCTTTTAAACATTATTTCAAAATGGAAAAATAAGTTTGAGAATATGTGCCAGGGAAAAAGTAACTCAGATTTTACATAAGAATCTTTCAGGTAATAATAACACATCTTTAGCCATATTCTGATTTTTTTTAAACACATTGGTATATTGCTTTTACTTTCATCATTAAAAAGTTTATTGAGGAAAGAATGTTCAGCATGTATACATAACATTTTGAAATTTGTCCTGGACTTTAAAAAAGATTTTAATTAAGGCTCTTTAAAAAGGTTTCTGAAAATATCTACCATAAGAATATATGCTACCACAGTCATCAAATCATCAATCCTTTGTCTCCATTAACATCCACCTTCTCTTCACCAATTTCCACTGGTAATATGATTCTGGAAGAGTGTCAGAGCATATTTTACATGTTTTCAGATTCATTATCAAGGCTGCTCCTGCTATCCCTAGAAAAGACAGTCAGTTGGGAAATGTTATAATTAGTGAGCTGAAGGATGATTCTGTACGAAAACATCAGGTAAATAAAGTTTTACAGATACACTCGATTTAAAATTGATTTATCATATCTTTTTCCTTTAATATTACTTTTCTTTTTTAAATACATGGTAATGCCACTTTGTCAGAAAAAAGCATTACTATTAAGGCAATTCTTGCTCGCTTTAATTTTCTCAATGAAAACTATATCATCACTATTCCTCCAGGCTGTGTGTCTGGGTATCACTTTGCATTCTGATCCTTGCTTTTTGGAGTTATGCCTCTTTGTTGAAAATCAGATTTAATCTTCATACTAGCACCTTCTCCCAAACTTGTATGCTGATATCAGTGAAGTATTACATGTAACATAACTTCAGACATTGTACATTTGTGAATTTTTTAATCACAGATAATTGCCATGGTAACAGAAACAGATTTCTAATTGGTTGAGATATTTTGGCCTGTAAAATCATACTGTATTCATTTAAAATTTATGACAATTGTCATTGTATTTATTAAAAGATAAGGCACCTGTTTGGCAATATTAGAGTCATCACCAAAAATTAACATGGGCGGATATTGAGCGATTGTGAGCACAATTCTTTAATTTGGAGTAACCTCTATTGATCATTAAGCACTTGCATAATTATTAGTTTTCCTTGGGGATAACAGTAATAGTTATGATTGTTCAAAGTTTATTTAGATATAGAATTATCAAATAGTCATGTTCACAATGATATCAATAAAGATCTCTGATTTATTTCAGGTGTCAAAATTACCTTTTCCCTATGCCAATGTACAACAGTTTGAGCAGAGTGTCCAGGCACCAGTGGGTAATACCTGGAATCCTGAGACAACCTTCAAGGACCTCATTAAACCCAAGGTCATCACTAAGCTTGGTTCTGTTATTGAACCTATTGATAAAGCTGAAGTTTTCAAAAACCAGAAGACAAATAAGGCAAAGAGGAAGGCAGGCATGGCGTTCAAAGATAGTGGAGATAAAAATAGTGATACAAAAAAGAGACCTAATAAATCTAAAAAATAACATTTCCAAGGAGAAATAAAAAAAATACAGATAGTCATTGAATGAAAACATGCACTGCAATGCATATGGTTTATGAAAATAATGTACATTTTCTCAAGAAGTAGTCCGTAAATGAAATTACTGGAAATAAAATACTGAATATGTATATTAATACTCTTTACTGATTTGTTGAACAAAATGGCAGCAAGCTTCTGAAGAAGGGCTGGCTATCAGCATCTGCAGTGTCTAAACCTCATTAACCTATTAACAAAAAAACCAAAGCATCATAGTATTTGGTTTGCAGAGTCGTAAAGAAGGTCAGTAATACCATACCTATGAATTTGATTTCTTCTTTGAGAATAAACTAATTTATATTGATAATAATTTCCTGGGCTTATGTGACCACACTAATTTGAATGTGTCCAATTTATGGACATAAAAGTAGATACAAATATAAGTTATGTAACTAACAAGTTGACATCAAGAGTTTTTGAAATGTGTCAATTTCATGTTCTTTTTAAGGGGAGATAATCTTCCTTTTTAATTACAGTTATCAACTGAATTTTTTAATTAGGATCTGGGTTTGACCCTTAAAAGAAACATAAAAAAATACCAGCATACCAGGTACATGTATTTTATACATACACATCAAATCTAATATACATTTAACTCGGAAGTATACTGTTAAACTACCATCTGGTTCACTTTGCTCTCAGTGTTATATATACCACAAGAAGAATTAGGGGAGGGATATCACTCAAGCAAACTATTTCAAGAATTACTGTTGAAAAACAACATTATCTTACTGGAGATCTATATGTTATATGTAAATTTAAGAATTTACATATTTGTCAATATTTTACAAGTGATCAAAATAATCACAGTGGGATTCAGCAAAGATGATGACATTGCAGAATAATTGTGATCTTTTATCCTGGTCAGGTATATCCATGCTTTTTACTGATGTGAGATTTCCTTCTCTTACCCTAGGGTTTAGATGGAGTTCTTCTCTAAGGATCACGATATAATGTCACAGTGACAATTCTTTCAAGCCACCTCAGCAATTCAGTAATGCTTTTGTAACACATGTCAGCTATGCGAAGCACGGGGACAACAAAAACACAGATCTAATTGGTCAAAGGAGGGTAAGGGAAAATGGGGGAATATCAGTCCTTGAAAGCCTGATGTGTACTAATTGAATACTCTTTCCACTCAAGTCTCAAGTTGTGGTCCCCAAATCCCATCTCTAAGGAGTGAAAGATTCTATTAATTTTCTCTTAAGGAGAGAGCAAATAAATCATTTTCTGAAAGTTGCCATTGAACCTTTTTTAGACAGGAGGATGAAGATTCCTTACTTGTATTTTCTACGTAGGAAACATGGTATATGTATGTGATTATCCAACACTCAACAAAAGTAATTCCATCTATGTGGTCAAAAACATCATATATACAATGTACTGTATTAAGGGTAACAAATATTTACTACGAGAACCCTCTTAATTCTCAGAAATGAACAAAAGTAACAAATGACAGAAATTATTGACCTAAATATATGTTATTGAAAACTTGAGTCTTTGGTCACCAAAAAACTAGAAAGTCAAAATGGTTACTGGGGTATGTTTTAAAACAAAATTGGTGATGGTGCAAGGAGTATCACTGACCAAACTGATTGAGACATTCTCAGGGTTACAAGCACTGTGGTACTTAATTCTAAAGGGAGATAAATCCTTCTTGCTTAAAAATGATATAGCAATGGCATATTATATCGAAATGAGATTTCTTTAATTCAGTCAAACCTGTCATAAAGCACAAGCACTGATCATAGGTTATTTCCTTAGGTGGATCCTCAGTTATAAAGACATAATAAATAAAAAGTTGACAGATACCTGTAACTGAATATTGATGGATAGCCTATCATTTATGAATATCAATAAATCAAGTTAAAAGTACTTATCCTAATCTTTACAATCAAATTAGGTAAAGTTACATGTATCATTATTTATAGATATTGGGTATTAGCATAAATTAATCAAATAACAGCTATCCATAAAGTATCACCGTAATTGGCCTCAAACTTTTTTGTACTTGTCTCGCCATGTAGTACATATGTATCTACATTATTTAAGTAAATACAAAGACTTACACTCAGTGTTATGTTGGACAGCTTTCCACCAAGCTGCATCATTTCAATTTCCTATTGTGCATTTTCCATTTCTTGATAGCAACATCTCTCTATCCCGATTTCTACCTATTGTGTTTACATGATGAATTTGATTCCGTATTAAATGGCCATTTCCAGTATAAAGACTTTTAGTGCAAGATGTTGACAACTGACAGGCAAAAACTTTGCCACACAAGCATTTGCTGTATACCATGTTCTGATTTGAGAATGTGACATTACTTACTTTGATCAACCAAGATTTGCAAAGTAGGCAATAGGGGCTTACTCTTCCTGAACACCTGGGCCCATATTCATGAAACCATTCTCATGCTCAAGCATATATTTTGTGCTGAAGCAGACTTTTTTATAATTCACCTAAATCATATAAAATAATATGTCAAATATAAACATTGAATATAACTTTGACTTAAAGTCCTTTCAATTCTTTTTTTTTTTTTTTTTTATCTTTGGCAAAATCAGTCTTATTTATTAATATTTAGCTTATACAAGACATAAGGCTTGAGCACAAAATTCATGCTTGAGCTTGAGAACGGTTTCAGGAAAAGGGGCCCTGGACTTATTCTCCTTTTGCTTTTTTAGGTGTCTCCATGTGTAAATCTTTCGTTTGTGCATATTTTGCCCTAGTTTTAATGAATTTGAGTTTGGGTTATGATTATGTTCAGATCTTGATATTTTATTGCATGTATTTATCAATAGTAAATCAGCTTATGCTGTCTTCTTGATATTTATTTCCAATATTTAAGGAGTATAGATATTTATAGTGGAATAATGATTCAAGAAATCTAGTCGAAAATATATGGATGTTCTATAGTAAAAAAAAGTGCCTATTATAGACGAGGAAACTGCAAGAAAACATTTCATTCAAGGCAAACAACATGCATGCCTGATGGATTTAAGATAGGGTTAAAAGTCACAAGCATAGTTAGTTACACGTACCAATAGACTTTTTTTTATCACATTTAACGCTGGGCTTATTGGATGTCTTAAATACCCCAGCATGATGAAAATGTTTTGTTAAATGTGAGTATTTTATGGTACTTTATCTATACTAATTTATTTTCAATTGATATTATTTTTTGATGTGTGTTCACTGCTTCCCTCGACAACCACTGTTTTGGGGTTTAACAATAAAATGAAGGCGAATTAACCTAGCTGAAATAAAAACTTTTTTCATTGGTTGTCGCTACGTCACGTGATGTCAACAGTGGGGTAAGCTGATATTGTGGTCGGCTGCTGGCCACGGCACATACACATGTGTGGTGATTTACAAGGACGATGTCCTGAGAAAACAGCATTGACAGGTTAAGGTACATTTTAAAATATCATCCTATTACGACTGTAAATTTATTTTCTTTCTCGTACAATGTGTCTTTATACTGGCTTTACTGGATTTCATGCGAGTTTGTTTTACTGTCATTGACAAAGTTCTGAGTTTTTGTTGCGACTCTCAACAATAGAAGGAACTAGACTGTGTCAAACAATATGGTAATGTCATTCAATAGCCAATTCAATATTCTAAATCCCATTGTATGTTTTGAAAGGTCGTATTAAAGGTCTAATCTGCCTTATTACACAAGTGGGATTTAATTAGCACGTGTCTACGGTAAGACGTGTGGTTGTGTTTTAAAATAATCGTCTGCTAAGATTAATCACTGACGTTGTCACTTCTACTCAATACATATGGTATATTAAAGTTATCGTTACATATTCGTAATGTTTATTTAAGAAATTAGAATCACAATGTAGCATATAACGTAGTCGGTACTTTAAGGGCTTTATTATGTCGATACTACACTAGACTAACCTGGTTACGTAGCCATAGACCCAGAAGTTTTTGTTAAGAATTACCAGCTGAATTCAATTACCTTATCGCCTATAGTTTGACATATCCATACAGACCAAAATTATAAAGTTCAATTTAATTGATATTTTCAGTATTCAAGAGACAGGAGCCACTCCATGTAATAGTCATGCATTTCAATTACCACAGTCAGTACAAAGGGCCTTTAACAGAAGTTATACTGTTACTTACTGTTACTGGTCTGCTGATCATGAGAGATAACTGTCATGCCTATATAATGTACTTGAATTAGCAGTAGAATACCAAATTACCTCAGTATTGCACTTGTTAGTTTAACGACTGACCAATGTTAGTGGTAAATTGAGTTCAAGTGAATTGCTGAAACACTCAAATATTTAAAAAAAAAAAAAAAAAGAAAGAAAATGTGGGTTAAACTGCTTTGATAGTGAGCATCACAATCATGATCATATGGTCTCTTAGTTATTGAATATTTGATTGTTAAATATTTGGCAGAGGCAAAAAGAAAAGAAATATGTCAATAATTCTGTGTATGGTTGAACATAATTACATTTGAATGATTGTAACTTTATTGTATTTCTTGAATGTGGCAAGTAATGTCAATGATGTGTTGACATTTTGTATGTTGATGAAATAACACATTGCCCTGGTGTATCTCACCATAGTGCTATTGACCTGAGATACACATCAACAATAATCACTAGAGATAATAGTTATTGATGATGACAGGTTCAGGTTGTTTTGGCGATGGGATTAAGTTAAATGGTGATTGATGTCAGAGAGGCAAGAGATGATGGTGTTTTTCATTGACAGTATGGTTAGTTTTCTACTCTGAACAAAAATGCTGCTTTTTGCATTTACCAGAATGACAGACTCACTTTCTAATGTCTGCACGGGGAAGAGGAAATTGCACAACCTTCCAATGGCAATAAAAGCATAGGTACATCTGTCTACATAAACCATGATAAAACATCTATGATTCTATTTTACTATATCTGAGGAAAGTTGCTCTATCATGACTGTAAAGAACTATGAAAAGAATCTGTTTTGAACTTCCCAAATTCAATAAGCAGACAGAATATTAGAGAGCAGACATTTCGCTATAACATATAAAGGTTTATGACATGCATCAATGGTAATAATTTTTAACATTGCAAAAAATGCACTGTTGTTTGTTATAATTATCTCACACTATGGCTATCCATAAATAATCCATATTTCAACCTTGTTTACAGCAGATCTGTTAGAGTAGGTAGAGTTTATTGTAAAGATGCAAGATTTACATTGTTTACTTCAGATGCATATATATCAGAGCAGTATTTACCAGATAAGTGTAACGAAGGAGGATTTACATTATTTGCAGATCTTCCATATTGCTGTAATGAGGCAATGTTTACATGTATAGCCTATTATTGTACACCTTTTCTGACTTCTGACACCAAAGTTATGATTTCTTGGACCTTTATATATAAATGTTCCCCTAATAAGCTCACAGTGATTTTTTTATTTCATTCTGATATTTTGTTCGTCAGGAGGAGATATGAGAATCAGCAGGAATCTGGATTTTTGGAAATGTGACGTTTGACCTTGGCTAACCTTGTCCTGACCATGTCAGAGAACGTAGGACAAAAAAACAGGTTGGTCTTTCGAATCAATGATCATGGTCAGGGCCCAGAACTCCTACGACAGGTGTTCTTGGAAAGAGGCTGGATTGAGTTTGATGAGGATGATCAGGAGGAACACGAGTGGAACCTATGGTGGCGCACGTCACGTTTCCGCAATTGCGATTATGATCAAATCAATCCATGGCAACGTCTGAATCACTATCCAAAGTCAACCGGTATTACAAAAAAAGATTGCCTGGCAAGAAATCTGAAACGAATGAAAGGTGTACATGGGGCAGGAGTCTATAATTTCAGTCCAATTGCCTTCAATCTTCCAAACGACTATACCAGATTTGTAGCAGAGTATAGCAGGTTAAAGCAACAGCACTCTGAATCTAAGCATATACTTTGGATTTGTAAACCGGCAGACTTGTCCCGTGGGAGAGGAATATTCCTGTTTCGTGACATTTCTGAACTACAGTATGACTGCAATGCTGTAGTCCAGCAATACATCTCTAACCCTTTCTTGATTGGAGGATACAAGTTTGATATCCGTGTTTATGTAGCAGTGCCATCCTTTCATCCCTTAAATATTTACATCTTTGAGGAAGGTCTTGTGAGATTTGGGACTGAAAAGTTTGATCTGAATGCCTTACATAATGTTTTTGCTCATCTTACCAACACTTCTATAAATAAACACAGTCCTGGGTATGCTTTGGACAAGGAACGTGTTGGTCCAGGTTGCAAGTGGACAATCACACAGTTAAGACAGTACTTTCACCAACATAATGTCAACGACAGTACTTTATGGACTCGAATAAGTAACATTATTATTCTGACTCTTCTTGTTCAGGCTCCACAAGTGCCCAAGTGTGACAACTGCTTTGAACTTTATGGATTTGACATTCTAATTGATGAAAACTTAAAGCCATGGTTATTAGAGGTCAACTTCAGCCCAGCCCTAAGCTTTGATTGCCAAGCTGATCTCTTAGTGAAGAAACCTTTGCTTCATGACCTGTTGAAGTTATTGGATTTCAAAGAGAAAGATATGGAAAGAGGTGGAGATGCTTATAAAAAGCTTTTCCGTCGGGGTCGCACTATAGAGCCATATGATCGACACTCATCTATGAGCCGTGCCAGTCAGAGAGGAAGTACTCTTAAGAAGACAACATCCTTCCACAAAAACATGTCATCATTAAACAAACAGCAGACAGCTGTACAAGAAAGTGCATATTTCATCAATGAAGTGCCTGAATCCAAACGAGATGAAAACATGTGTTTTGGTTTACCACTTGCCACACCTGGAGATGAAGGACGACCAAGCAGTGCAAGTTCCGGAATCTCTAGTGTAGACAGTGACAAACTTGAGATCTTGGAAGAAGGAAGTCTGATGGAAAGGCAGAGGACAATGGGTTTAATGTCAGAGCGATCTGCCACTGCATGTAGCCGAAGGTTGTTTAGTAGAGATGGTGGGACAAAACCTGAGGAGTATCAGGAATTCAATAATAATAATGTGAAAGGAAGTTCAGCCCGTTCTGCAATCATACCCGTACACACAATGATGGAGAGGTCTGCCACTATGTCATCTGTGGTGCGAAGAGCAGACTATCAACAGGGATCGCAAACTCTTACAGAAAAAGGATCAACTAAGAGTTCCTATACCTCTGACAGTGGTGTTTCAAGTTACTCCAGTTCTAGTCATGAAAATTCAGACTTGATCACAAAGCCAGAGAGTCGTAGGAATAACAAGTTGTTGCCTCAGAGGTTGCAGACAAACAACTTACTACATCAACAGGTGGATCAAGAACAGGTAACTCAAAGAGGGGAAGGAAGTCCATTGTTTGATCAGAGGAATAACGTTTACAACATTAAATCTCTGCAGCCAAATGAAACTTCAAGTACACTTAGGAAGATTGCAGCATCTGGGATGACAAACTCACAACAGCAGTATCGTAATGGTGGAATACGTAATGGAGCTAGAGACATTAATCTCCGCAGGAACTCCATGTATCAAACTCGTTCAGCCATCCGGTATCCAACACCCCGTTCAAGTCGAGAGTCACCTGCTCACAGATACAGCAATGCTCAAGACAACAATAATGCTGTTATAGGTTCAAGGACACAACTGTATGTATCTACTTCTCCCGTACCTCGGCGTTTAACCCGAAATGCAGAGCGACAAATTGCTCCTCCTTTACGAAAGAGCCAAAATTCACAGCTTGGAATGAGTACTAATAGGCATCGTGTGAACTCCAATGGGCCTAAAACAAAAGGTCCATGTTCTAGAGTAGGGGACATGTTTTTGGTGTTTCCTTTCAGTGATGTCACACTTCGGACAGCTAACAGTACGTTAGACCCACATGTTGTGATTAAGGAAACTCAAAGACTTCTCAGAGAATCAATACATTCTGTAGATAAAGGTTCACAAGGACAGAAGTTGAGTGGACATTTGCCCTATGGACAGCCATTGGATGCTGACAGACTATGGGGACCGATCAAACAGTTACCAGAAGAGACTGCTTGAATTAAGGTACTATTTTTTGTAAGCTAACTTGATTTTGAAGAAATCCATTATTCATACCATACATATGTATCGTCCAGATTATGATATTTTCAACTGTTTGAATTATTGAGTTAGATGTACAAAAAGTTCCTGCATCACATGACCCAGGGCCATGCATGTAGAACTCAAGTAGGTATAACTTACACACTTTTTTATCTAACACTGTGGAAATAGTCCTAAGGAAAGACCTAATGTGGAATGTTAAGTGAATATTTGCTGTTCAGTCCTGTAAAAACTTAACTAATTTTGCATGAACTTGACAAATTTAACCAAATTTTGCATACATATTAGATATGTTTATACACTTAGCAACAGAAGGACAATGGTAACCTTAAATTTAGTAATCACAGGTAAATGTATATACAAGACATAGTAAATTTTTTAAAATCTCTTAATTGGCAGAAGCTTTAAAAATGTTGCAGTGTATATCTCTAGATTCAAGCTAAAAACACAAGGGAAATATTAAAACAGAATAATTCAGACTATTTTATGACGCAGTTTCATTCAATGATTTCAATTTGATATTGAATCAATTAATGTATTAGGTTCCTGGTGACTTTTCACATCTATTGTTTAGAAAATGATTACTTGTTATATTCACTTAACATGTTACATGTAATTCTTTTATGAGATTCACTGTAGGTGATCAAGTTTCTCATTTCAGTGTTGTATAATTCAAAGGCAGTTTATTTTAATAATCAAATGGGACTATGTCATCTGGTTATAAACTTCCTGCTGGTGTTCTAAGAACAGAAATCTAAGAAAGACAAGACCATTAAGAATAATCATAAAATAATGATAATCTGATGCAATTGAAATCCCAGGAAGAAATATGTATATAAACTTAATAGATTATGTATTTATGATTTACACAAAAGTAAGACTTAAAAACGTGCTATTTTTAATCATCCATACATTTCACAAGAACTAGTAAAGACATAATTTAAATGACATTTCAATACAGGTCATCCTTTTATGTGATTAGTTTGGTGTACTCTGCATTTTATTGAACATTCGTTTATTCAACTGACTGAATAAGAAATAATAAATAGGTAAAGGTTCTTTGTGTGTCTCTTTAAGCTTGCAGGATCCTGTTTAATAGACTTTTTAGCACTTTATCCTCTTACCACATAAAAAATCTTTTGATAGTGAATTAAATTCAGATGTGCCATAGATATGTATAGAATAAGTGGTCTATACTGGCAGTCTGTGTGCATAGAGGTGACAAGAAACTTTTTATGGGGTTATATAATTTGCCTTTTATATGTGGACACTTTTAGAACTCTCTACTCATTTTGGACAGTAAGTGAATTACAATATTTTAGATAGGCCTCCAATGCCTCCAATCGATGGCAAGCACACTGTGTCGTGTATATTCTACCTGTATATTTTGGTGTATGTAAACACACACAAATCTCTTTCTAATAGAAAGCAGATTATCTGCAAACTGCCATTCAGGATCTTTATACATGCACTGACAACATAAGCCAGTAGCCATGGAGTAGAGTTACCTGGTATTGAACAGCTTTCCTTACCAGGGTACAACTGTCTAATATAGCACAGGTCTGATGGTATAATTGGAAAGTTCCCAACTAGTACACGGGGACACCCATGTATGTGCCAGGGCAACTCTGGATCACCTTCAAACAGGTCCATAATATACATGTCACAGGCTGGTGTAATGTTAAAACATATCTTATGTCAGGCTTTGATTAATTGAATTAATTTAAACAAAAGATTTAAATGAATTTAAAATGCAAAACTGATACAGATCTTGTAATTTATAATCACACAGCCAGTTATGATAATCATACAGCCAGTTATGACTGTTACAACGTTAAATCAAATCATCTGTTAATATTTTTATTTTCTTTTATTGCACTTATGTGTATAGGGGTAAATCTACCTAAAAATGCCAATGACAATTAAAACATATTGATGCCACAAAAAATATTAACATGCATCAAAGATCGAAAATACTATATATCAGTCCAGTTTAAGTATACTTTCTTTTGCAAACATCAAGCAGCTGAATGGGTTTAATTAGTGTTGTTGACTGGAGGCAGAGAGGTGAAGATCAGTTTTGAAAATCTAGTGATTACAATAAACCTTCAAATCTGTCATACCTTCATTACATCTATAAGGACTTTAATTTTTGATATATTTGGAATATTAAAAGAATCCATCTTCAGGTTATGAGGAATTTTCCAATACCTTGAGCTTCACTTAATGGGAACTTTGGACAGAGTGACAGTTCTAGCCCAATAGTCAATAAATGCTTAAAACATTTGCTGTTTTAAGATGGATATTTGAAAACATGAAATAAATATTTTACATGAGGGGAGAATGGAGAGGCTTCATATTTGATTTTTCAGCTACCAGGTAGTTAAAATAAAAAGGCTAAAACTAAGCATGGGAGTGGGGAAGGTTGGAGTTGGGAAGGTAGCACTACTATTGTATAAAACAAGAATGACAGTCATAATTCTAGAGTCCATTTGTACCGAGAGATAAAACATCAAGGTCATTATGTACTGATCAATATCTGTATAACAGCATACACCACAGCTCACTGCTTGATTATATAGTGTCTATCAACCTGATCTTCCACTAAGAACTACACATATGCTAATGATATATATATACAGCAATGGAATACTAAAGCTTACAGCTTTCAATACACATTCTGTTATCATTGCTGTATTTTATGTTTTTCAGGAAACTTTCACCCATTTTGCCTTTTGCCATAAAAGTGAAAAATTAATTTGTGTACAGTTTGTTGCTAAAATGAAAACCTATTTTTCATGTATTTCAAAGACATTTTAAGACTGGGTGAAAGTGTACAATTTCCAGTGAGAGTGAGAAAACAAAAAAAATGACAAACAGACATAGGGTAAATGTTTACATAAAAAAAATGTATAGGCTTTAACAATGAAGAAACACTTTTTTAATGCTTGTTTGTATCTTGACATCCAAAATAGTTGAATAATCACAACATTTATTCTGGAATTCATGAGTGAAACTGGGGAAAAAGAGGATGCCTGTACCCCAAGTACCTTGTTTGGCTGTCAACATATTTTAAGGCTTAAAAGGCCTCAGTAACAAAAGCTAATTATAGGTATACTTCAGCACGTCCTACTTGTTTACCTGAGAAACAGCCCTCATGCTATAACTAGAAGACATTTATGGGTGTGAATGTACTGGATATGCTAGTGTTTCTGGACTTGTTGCGAAACAAATACTCTGAGGACCAAATTCAATACCATCTCAAACAATCAAGTGTGAAACTCAAATCTTTGGTTGTATAGCTGTAGCCGTCAATAATTATCATGAATTCTTTTATGTTTTGCAGTGACTAATTACAGAGTGAATTATTTATCTCTCACGAAAATGGAAAACAAAAACAAAGATATTGACCTCCTTATTCATAGAATACATTCTTCTTCATTCTGTGAGCATAGTACATGGGAAAAGTTAAACTATTTGTTATCATAACAATTTTAACTATGTACTAATTATAGTAATTTACTATTCAGTATAATAGTTAGTCAAATGTCAGTATAATAACCAAGTTGAGATTTGAGTATTAAATACAACTGTGACTGTAGCTTTATTACTGAAACATTTAAATGACCTCATGATCCTCACCTTTAAATTATAATCAATATTTTTTACTTTATTTCGTGGTGAACACTGTTGTCAAGTGTGGAGGTATTCCATTTTCACTTTGAAACAAATGTTCTAACAAATACTCTAGTGCCCAGTATATATTATCATTAACCTTGATATCAACTATTCTAGTCATGTAACCTGCTTGATTATATAAAAGTCATAGATTAGTGGTCATATTAATTGTTTTTGATATCGAAGTTTAGCTGGGGGTTGATTTTGAAACTGGTTTGCTATAATTTTTTTTTTGAAACTTTATATAAAATATGACTACCAGGTATCTGTTATGCATTTTACATAGACAAACAGTAATAAGTTATTTGTAGAATTTAATGTTTTGTTTTATCATGATATTCAAGGCCAAATAAAAAAGATAGAGAATCACTTGATTCACTACTTCTTATTGAGATTTATAGCACATGTTTCAGTCATGATAGAAGCATGGTCCTGTCACATGGTTTATTTACCACGCCACATTGATATGAGTCTATTACAATTTTCATTGGATATGTTAATAAATGGGCTTGAATTTCATAACAATGGTCTCTGACTGTATGAAGCGTGGCACAAATCACACCAAGTAATGAAGATTGTATGAGCGTAATGAAAAATCACCATTTAATTGTAAAGCTATCCTTTGTCTAATTTTCAAGACTAATTTAAATGAACTTTAAATTGATATACCGTGAACCATCCAGACAGGTAGTATTAGGTAGACGTTGGATCAATGACATGGTTCAATGATATTGTATTGGATAATAATTACAATGCCAGGCTTTTCTTGTGAGATATGGCACAATCTCATCTGTTAGCCACACAGCCAAAAATGCAATATATCACAGATAGGATAAAAACCAAAAATGGGAAATAGAAGAACTGAACCTACTGTGAAAAGTTTCCCTTTCCCAATCAAATGATTTTAGCATTATTTGGTTTGCCATACTATTTTCTTTAAATGTGTAAAACATTCTTGTAGTAATCCTGTGTCTATGATGCTGCAAAAACATGTCCAGAGCATAGCAAGAATCACAAAATGTTGGTTACACTCAGGTGATGTGCATTGTGTTAGATTCAAGGTCCACAACCCCTTATTTACAGAGTTACTGCCCCTTGTTAGAATTTCATGTTCAGGACATAACTTTGCTTGCATTTAAACTTGCTTTTACATTGGTCATTCTTAGATGATGAAGAGTGTACTAAAGTCAGATCCTACAACCCTTTTATTACAAACTGCACGGGCAGGTTTCACAGGTTATCTACAAGTAAATGTTGACTGTTCTACAGAGGAAAATTTT